TTTCTGTGGGTGGTATCAAGAGCAACATCTTTTGCTTCAGTGTGATTGCCCGATGGGTTTCCATAAACAGAAGCACAGTTCTGAATTTTGGAAAGAAATTAGAATTATACTAGTGAACTTGTTGCTGAAATTTGCAATATTTGTCTTAGAAATATTGTAGAAATAATGTACATATTTCAACAGCTTGCTTGATTGCAATTACCAAATCATTTTTTACCTGATTGATTGAATCCACATTAAATTTAAATTTTTCCTGTCATCCACACATTTATATGTAAGCATTGCTAACTTCTATCCACTTTCCAGCCTTATCAATATATAGGCGGTCCTCAATTTATGACTAAAATTGGAAGTGAAAAATTCTTTGTTAAACCGTTTGGTCATTAAGCAAGAAACAGTATGATTGTGACTTGTGACCTTCCCTGCTGGCTTCCTGATTGACTTTACTTCTAATAAACCAGCAGGAAGGTCACAATTGGTGGATAACATGACCATGGCTTGCTGGGATAGTGTAATTACACGTCTAATGCTGTTTGTCCCGATTGCCATCGTGTGAGAATGGGAACACTGCGATAGCCAGAACTTCAAGACACAGTTGTGAGTAACATACATTCAGAGTGATCGTAACTTTGGATGATCGTTGAATGAATGGTTGTACTCCCAAGGATAATCTGTAGTTGACATGGTACACTAATATAAACATCACACTCCAAACATTGGAAAAATTTTAAACACATGTAACAAAACTGAGCACATTGTAAGCCGCCTTGAGTCTTCGGAGAAGGGCGGCATATAAATCAAATTAAAAAAAAAAAAACAGCTATAACCAGGAAAGCACACATTATTGTAAAATGAAGACCCAAATTGTTGGGGGCAATATGATGACTCTGTAAACCACTTAGACTTAGAGAGTCCTGTAAAGCAGTGTGGAGTGGTATATAAGTCTAAGTGCTATTGCTATTAGCCAATGTGCATTCCTGCTAGATTGATGCACAATCTACCTTGCTTAGAACTTGGATTTTACCAAATGCAAGTTGAGAAGAAGAGGAAGTACAGATGGGTCATACTGCATTTCTTTGCTCTCTCATCAGAAATAGCTTACGTAATACTCATTTCACATAATTAGATGTTTATAGATTATAGAGATCTATCATAGATGTTAATAAGGATCTGAGAATATACAACATGAAGATATTTCATAGGCATTCTGTGTGTGTCTGTGTGTCTGTATGGGTATGCATGGGTTTAGCAGTATCAATGTTTCACCTTAAAATTGTTTTCAAAATCTAAAGTTAATCTGATGTAACTATGTACATGATCCATAACTGATTGAAAGAAAAAAAATATTATCTCTGTGTTGTGGCCTGTCAGCGGCCTGTGCAGCTAGTAGCTGATTCCGGCAGCGAGGAGGCTGGTGTGGTGCTGCGCTAGCAGCCTGTGCAGCTGGCACTTGAGTCAGACAATGAGGAGACTGGAGAAGATGTGCCAGAGATGGGGATTCAGCCAGGGCTTTCAGAACCTCCAGAAGCTCCCATAAATGAAGAGGAAGAAGAGGAGGAGCCTCTTCTCGATGCACGAGCGCGCAGAGCTGCCAAAGGGCAGGAGTGGCTCCTCAGGAGAAGGTCTCGAGAGTAAGGCTTGGGGCTAATTGGCCACTCCCCTAGCCTATTTAAGGAAGGACGACGACTGAGGCAATTTGCAGGAAACAACTTCATTCACATTCCTTCACGTCTTGATTCCAGAAACATTTTGATTCGGCTCTTGTTTTTCTCTTATCAGTTTTCCTGCAAATTGTTTCTGGGCATTCTGCCAACCACAGTAAGATTATGGTTATCTGAAATACTGTGCCTCAGAACTGAGTTATTATTCTTTGAATTCTTGTCGACTGTTAATGAAGTTAAATTAATAGCCCTTGTTCAGAAAAGACTGATTTAAATTGTACTTGTGTTCAAACAACTACTAAGAAAGCTCATTAGTAGTCCTTAATTAGTAAACTAAGATTTGTACAGACTTTGTTTGTGCTGCGTTCTTTGGGGTCCGTAGTTAGGGCAGAACACTGAAAGATTTTGTAACATTCATGCAATTTAGCATGATAACTTGAATTCATTCCAGTTCCATTTAAATTCTTTAGTTCCATTTAAATTTTTTTAGCTGAAAGTACAATGTGATAGTACCATTGATATGTGTTCACAGTAAATAAGCCAATTTACTGTGTTCAAGCATAGTTTCATATCCTTATGCCAATGTTTCAGTGAAAAGTGAGTATATTTCCTCAAGATCAATACTTTATCTTCTCATGTTAATAAAATTTCCCCAGAAAGCTTATTTTGTTGAAAATAGAAAAGTTTATTTGAATTGAAACAAGTTCACAGAGGAAATGGTGAAATATCAAGGTCTGATTAGCAAAATGGTTCTTAAGTATTGTATCCAAACCTCCAAATTTTTATAAGATTATGCCTGTATGCATTGTTTACTTAATTCCTCTAAGAATAATTACTGATAAATTACAATATGCTTTGTAAAAATATTCCTTTTGGGGATGACCTAGACTGGGCATTTAATGTGCCCCTGCCCCTGCAACGAAGGGGATGTTATCTGCAACTATACTTCACTTGGTTTTCTACTTGTAAATCACTTGTTTTCCCTTTGCTTCTTCCACTTCCTTTTATATAGTATCTTTCATTATAAAACATTTGTGCTTTTATTAATTATAGGAAGAGTTAAATGCTCAATAGAAGCTTATATCTCCACAATTGCTTTGGTTAGCAAAACTTATTTTCTCCAGATTTGTTACAATGATTAAAAAAAATAGAGAAGAAAATAATATCAAAAAATAATGGATTCAAAACTGAAGAAAATTGTTCTAATCACTGCTGACAAAATGCAAAAGTTGGAGAGGAATTTGTAGGGAAAATTGCTGGAAAGTGTCAGTTAGAATCGTACAATGATCCAGGACAATAATTAAGTATATTTCAGTGTAGAAAATGGTCTGTTCATTGTTAATAGGCTTAGTATAGGCCAGACTCACCTGTCCCATGTCTCCAAAGGTCTTCTCCACCCCATGAGATATCTGGCTCTGCTTTTCATCTCTTGGGAGTCCCCACAGGTCTTTGGCCTGCTTCCTACTTGGCCACTCAAGAACTTGCAGGAGAGGACCTGCTCCTCAGCCAGCTCCAGGGCCTAGTAGCACCCGACTAACCTTTTTGCAGCTTCTGAGAGAAGTGGCCAGCTGATGTGATATGAGACTCAGCTTTCCTACAGAGGCAGCCTCATACTACTCTGAAAGCAGGTGTTATTCTCATGATCCTTTAAGGTTTTAATCACACTTGTAAGAGTGAATGAATCTGAGGTGCTGCAGTGGTCCTAACTTTGAAACTAGGACATAAATAGCTTTTGGAGAGAGTCTGTCGAAACTTCGAATGGTCACTAAGCGACTGATCATAAGTCAAGGACTACCTTTAATCCAGTCCTTAGAAACAGATGTTTGAAGGAATTTTCAAACCAAAGGACAATTACATAATTACAGTCTAATTATAGTCCAAATATTATGTTTCTGATACAGTGGAAAATCCTTTAGATGAGATTAGTGCTTTGTAAGGCGAAAGTAGTGGCAATTGGCCATTCAAGCTCCAGAAGGAACATGAGCTTGCATAATTAATATTGATGGATATTAATATCCATATTAATGCAAAAAATATATATCAAAAAGAACTCTACTTTTGTTTGATACATTACTCCAAAACTTTTGATTGTATTGGCCATTCAAAATTTAGGAAATCTCTGAAAGCAATGGATATATTCCAGTATTTTATTGTTCCAATAAGTGGTGTCTGAAATAGCCAATAGCAGATGAGGCGGATGAACAGAGTACTGGAAACAACAGGAACGCATCTGCATACCGCAGGGAGAGACAGAACAACTTGGCAAACCTTTAGTATAGGACCACAAGAGTGGGCCAAGATTTAATGGAACACAACATTAAGAGGTAAAAATGCAATACAAGCAATTTCCTCCAGTTTCACTTTTTTAGCAAATTTACACCCATTGATATTTTCATTGGCTATTGAAAAGTATTGCACGTACAAAAATAATGCCAATTCATGGTCAAGTAGACAGCAACCTTCCTAATTTGAACGTCACTTTGCGAGAGTGATAGCATGAAACTTCTGTTGCTATCAATCTATTTTTATTTACCTTATCAATACTTAAATCTTTGAAAAATCAGGCTAGTACTTTCAAAAAGTTCTGGGAGGGCAATATATGAAAGTGGAAAGGTGACATCCAGGGGCGGGTTTCAAAACCCGCCACTATCGGTTCGCTTGTGGGCCGCTACTGGTTTGCTGGTGGGCACGCATGTACAGAAGCATACGGGCAGGTGGGCGGAGCCTCCTGTTGCTGCTGCTACTGGTTCACTCGAGCTGGTGTGAACTGGTAGCAACCCACCACACCACTGGTAACATCCCCTTACACTGTAGCGAGCCTTCATCTTGTATTATAAAGGTCAATCCCTCATTTCAGAAACCTGACCTTCAGTTTTATTTTTTCCAGTTCAGCTCTTGAATTTTCCTTCGTAAAGCAAATTTATAAACATAAACAACTATTTTTTATCAGCCTCTTTCAGATTTGCTCCCTTTTCAGGTTTGTCTTTTATCCCCCCCCCCCTCCCCAAATAAAATATGGTCGCTGTCTGCACCTTACATGTAAGGCTTCTGAACTGACAGCAAGAGATCGGCCGAGTAGGTAGTACCAAGCAGATCACTCCAGAAACGGGGATTTCAATTCAGGTCTAACTTTTTTTTTTGCTAACTTTTGTTGCGGATTGCGTCGTCTGCGGACGAGCATCTTCAGTTTCAGTTCAATGTTAAAAGTTTATCCCCTTCGGCTTGGTTTTGTTTCTTCTTCTCAAGTTAACTTGCAAAAAGTCCACAGGCCTCGGACCGGAATCTTCCTTTGCCTCCTTGATGTGAGAATAAGTTGGCAATCGTAGCTCCTTCGCTGGAGGAACCCTCTGGCGAGGCTGCTGCTTTTCCTTCCCGCCCTTGGGCTAAGCGTCCGTCCGTCGCAGCAGCCCTGGCCAAGGCCCAGGGAAGAGGTTCCTCCAGCCCCCGTAGAGCTTCCTGCTTTCCACAAGGTGCCAAAGAAGCCGCTTCTCTGCGGCAGGAACTGAGAGAGGTAGAAGAGAGGCTGGGAGGGAGGTGCTGCTGCTGCTGCTGCTGCTTTTACGGCCGCCGTCGCGCCAGGCCGGGGAGGCGAAAGAGCGAGACTCGGGCCGCCCTCGGCGAAGACGCCTGGGAAGCCGCACGCGACCCCGACCTGCTCCCCTTGGGACGCGCGGGGAAGAAGAGCAAACGAGACAAGAGCCGGCGCTTCCCTTCCCTCCCGTCCTCCTTTCCCGCCCAGGCCGGACTGGCGCCTGCCTTTTCCCTTCAGGGGGTGCCGCCGCCTCCTGGGACCCCTCACCCCGAGATGCGACCATGGACTGCAGGATCAAGTAAGCGCGGGGTACGGGTGGGTGGGGGAAGTGTCAGTGGAAGCGGGGCGGCGGGGCGAAGTCGGCTGAAGGAGGAAAGGCGCTCGCCGGCCCGCCGCGGAGAGAGCGAGGGGAGGCGTCAGGCTAGGCCTCAAAACCACCCCCAGCCCCACTTGGCATGTGCGCGGCTGCTGAGGCAGAGGCCGGCCGGGGACGGGAGCCGAGGTCAGCAGGAAAGAGGTGGGGGGAGCCCCATCCCCGCTTCTGCCGCGCGTCTGTCGGGGGCTGCAATCCCAAACCCGATCGGCGGGGAGAGATCCCTTGGCAAGCGCTTGGGCTTGCTTAGGTGGGATCCTCCGGCTCTGGCTGGGCTTGCTTTGTCCTTGGTAAAAATTAGCTTCTCGCCCAAAGCGACTCTCCTCCCCCTCCTTCCCTTCGCAGCATGAAATCCGACTGTCCTTTTTTGAATGGCCGACAGTATAATACCTGCATTCCTCCCGTCTGCCTTTGCTTGGCTCTGCCTCTGCTGGGTTTACCTTGTTGACCAGTACTTGACACAAGTCAGCAAGATCTCCCTAGTAAAGCAGGGACAGCACATTTGTGCAGAATGAAGTCTAAAAAAGAAACACAACAGGCCAAGGCAGGTGTTTTCTGATTTCTTGGCAACCTACAACCCACCTGAACAACTACTTTATCCTCATTTCTGGTGCACAGTCTCAGCCTAGATATGAACACACCGCACACAGTGTGTACCTGGGTATCTTAATATGTCAGTTCCCCCTTTCTCCAATTGATAGGATTTGAAGAATAAACAGTATAGTACTGTACTGTATTGTATGCCAGGTAACAATTTGATAGGAGCACCAAAATTCCCCTTCATTAACTGAAAAGATGGCATGTGTGGCAAGAGGGGGCAGGAGGATGTTGGCAAGGAAATTCCCATGACTGAGAGGAATGTGAGCAGAATGATGCCACACAATTAATGGAGATAAATATTTGCTGTTTTTAATAATTTCCACGGTGGGTTGGAAAAATATACACCATTTGAATATCTATGCCATTTCCAAGGACTTATTTTTAAAGTGAAAAATGAATGAACTATTTCCTCATTTGGCGATTGTGGTTAAAATCTTGACCTTGCAAGCCTTGCTAAATTTTGCATTCTGAACTAGTTTTAATAGTTTTGCAAACTGACAATGATCTGTTCATGGTGAGCCAGCTGGAATAGACATAAAAGCCCTTGCTTCTATGAACTGGCTTACATATTGAACTGGTTTGATACTTTATGGTGCAAAGTAACACAATTTGAAAGGCCTGTTTGTGAAAGCCTAGAAGCAGTTATACAGAAAACAGAAATATTGACCTATGAGATGTTTATCTAGTTTTTAAAGAAGTTGTGGTTATAGTTGGAGAACCTGTTATCATAGAAGTTTTCTTTTCAGTCATTGTGGGTACTTCTGGAGTTAGCAAACTTAACTACACAAACCATTGCAGGAGAGAGCTCAGTTGCAAATCCTATTACAGCTGCAATCTTGTATACAGTTGCTAAGGAATAAGTTAGCCTCACAGAAGGACTAGTTTCTAATTGAGTAAGTATAGTATTTACATTGTGTAAAGACGCATAACAACTAATCCAGAAATTGAAAATGGATTATTTTTAAGGGTAGAAGCCCCATGAATATAAATTTGGTAAAATGATAATAATTTCATGACTATTTTAATACACTGAATTTGTGTTCCACAACACATACGTTTATGCTTCCTTAAACAACTATGGAGTTTAATTTTATTGAATGTAGCACATTCAGTTCCAGTTGCTGTTTAATATCTGCTATGTCTGGCCTTCTATTTACATATTTATTCATTCTTGTGGTCAAGTAGTTATGTAATCAATCAGAGGGTGACTTCTGAATTAGAGTTTGGGGGATGCTCACATGTTCATCTGCATGAAACAGTAATATTTGCAAGCTCAAATAATTATTGAAGAGGAAATTACAGTTTGCTTATTGCTTCTCAGTTGTTGTTCTGTCTTAGATTACCCATTCCCATTCTAGCACTTTTCAGTATTTTGCGAATAAATTATTTGAGTTATTGGCTGGAAATTTTAGAAGTTTAATTCCAACACAACTGGGAAACATGATTCAGGGAAAACTAATATTAGCAAAATTCCATTAGAGTTGATTGTAAAACAAAAATACATGCTGGGCCATAATGTCAAAATGAGGATAATCTTTCCTTAAGCCATTAGGTGAGTGTTATTTAAACATTGGTGTGTACGGATTAAAAAGTCTTTATCAAATTCAATTTATTTCAATTATATATAATATTTCTGAGATCATATTTTATATTCTACATGGCCAGTAAGAAATAAATAAACATTAGAACTGCAATAGCAGTTGCTTTGAAAATTTATAGAGGACTGTAATATGTATAGGAGTTGGGAGGAATAATGTGTAAGGCATACATTGTATGACATTACATAGGACATACTGGAAGTGTTGCAAGAATCACAATGAAATTGCATGGTGAAAGGTAATCGATTTGCCCATTCACCAACTGTGAAATAATAGAATCCTTCATGTTACAGCTACAGAATTTGAAATAAATGTTGAAAGAACAACTGGCTAATGTATAGGATTATAAAGGATATAATATCAATAGTTTACATACATATGTACTTTGAGTGTATTTTCCTGTGGTCATTTATCACTATTTTATACTGTTTATTTTAATCCCTAATGAAGAAAGGGGAAACAGTTATTTTCCTAAAGATGTAAAAGAAATGTTATTTCTAACTTGCAGCAAGTTATAGCTTAACTCTTCACTTTCAGTGTCAATTCCCACTTCTGTTTATCCTGGCAGGATTCTCTTTGTCCTTCTCAGTCATTCAGTGCTGAGAGTTCAGTACTAGAGTTGGATTAACCATTACATAATCAAATGAATTTCAACAGTCAAGCTTAAATAATATTTGTTGAGTTTGCATTGTAATGCAATTCTATATGTCTCAAGAACGGTTGGTAAATAATCATTGTGTATTCTAAGAGACAAGTAATTATGAGTCAATACTATTATGCAGTTTAATGTTATAACAAACATAGCATTCCTGTGATTAGATTATTTAAATGTTTGTGACTAATTCATGACTAGTCAGATATTTTGTTTTTACTTCCAGAGAAAATCCAGAGACTACCTTTGATTTGGTGATACAAGTAAAATGCCAGGCTTCTGAAAATGAAGGTAATGCACATGCCTTTATATTCTGCATATAAATTAGTTGTGCAAAATGTAACAAGTTATATTTTTAATGTGGATAGACTAATTTAGTTAGGAAATGTGCTTAATTGCTTTTTATTACGGTTATTTTTAGGAATAGAACTATGTAATTATAGCTTACTACATTACATATGTTTTATATACTATTATTAGCTGTAGCAACAACAATAATATTTAATTAGAGACATACAGTTTGCTTTGAGTTTGTGCTTTAACCTTTTTTCAATTTGCACATTATAATGGATTCCGTAAGTTGTGTTTTAGCAGTACATATAATTATGATGTTGAAGAAGGAACCCTCTTTGGCTATGTACACATAAGCATTTGTGCTGCTAGTTTAAATCATTTGGTTGCCATTACTGTGGATAACATAACAACATAGCAAGTGGATAATGGTCATGTTAGGAAGGAGAGATTCATGGATAGTAACAACATTATGTTTTGTCTACTTAGATCTGGTAATCCTGCTTAACTACAAAATAAAATAAATATTTTTCTCAGGATGTCTCCCCAAATAAGCTTTTGTATTGGTTTAATCTTTAATTTTTAAAGTTGGATTTGGAAAGAATACCCAGTTTAGAAGCATTGTAGAGAATATGGATTAGCTAAATTCAAGTATTCATGATTTCTGCAGGTAGTCCCCAATTTATAACCATTTGTTCAGCATCTGTACAGGATTATGATGGTGTAGAATAAAGAAAGTTATGACCCCTTCCTGAAGTTATGGGTGTTGTAGCACCTTCGCTGTCATATGGTCAAAAATCTGAGTGCTTGGTAGTCCACCTGCCCTTGCAACCAGACGTAGAGTGCTGTAACTGCCCCCTTTCATCTATATGTCCTCCCATCTTAGCCACCCACCCACGTGTGCAAAGTTGTCTCAACCTTGGCAGCTTTGGCCTGCTTCCTGCTCACTTCTTTCCACCCCATTATGCGTAGGTCCACTTTTGCATTGTTGTGCTGACAGGTGTGCTGAGCTGATGTGAGGCACAGCTTTCTGTCATGGTTTCTGTGCACCATTCTTTAAGCGGGTCTCATTCTCGCGATTGCACTATTTGGAGAAGCGGCCTTCCAAACCTTTGCAAGAACAATTGTATCTGATAGCTTTCTAGCCTTCCTAACATGATCCTTCTGAAGGCTAGATTGTTTCTGCTAACCCAAAATCTAGGCTGGGCATAATACAGGTTAGCAGTGCAGAGTGCAGCGTGGTAAGGGTGACTGGAACTGGGCTAGGACTGCTTCCCACCTTACAAGACAAGGTGCAGGGCTGCCAAAAAGTCAGAGATGGGAAGGAAATGGGTAGGTGAGGGGAGTTGGAGGTTTTACTGAGGTTTGGGGCTGGGAGGGATGAGGTATACAACAATTTGGAATGAGTGGGTCCTTGGCTAATGATTGGTAACATTTGCTTAACAAATGGCAACAAGGATTGCCAGGTTTGTGGCAATCCCAATTGTGATCATAAGTCGAGGACTACTTTTAAAAGACAAATGGAAGAATAAGCATCACTTGTTAAAAGCATGGTATTCCAAATTTGTATCCTCTGGACCAATACAAATAGGAAAATCCTTGCACGGTGCAATTTCTATATCAATGCTTCCCAGGAGAAATTCCAGAACAGGTTTTAAGACATTAGTCAAAAAACCATAAAACCCCCCCAAAAATCAAAATAAAGTAAAAACCAGGCAAAACATTTAAAATATGTAAAAGGATTTTTTAAAATCTACCTCAGTAACAGAAAGGCTGGGGCATGCCCACTTTGACAATATATTATCAAATTAGGACATATGATTCCATTTACTATGGAAAATTCTTCTAAACAATGGTTCCAAATGGAAAGTACAGTATATTAGAGCCAAATAATTTTATAACTCAAGGTGAGGTTTTTTTCACCGAAAACATTTTTCTAGAATAAAATTGAAAATGTGCCATTAAAACAACGCTTCAAATAGGTTCCACAGACTTTCTTCAAAAATAAACATAATGATGAATACAAGCTAGATCAGGACTGTAAAACTTGTGACCCGCGGGCCAGTTGCGTCACGAGCTGGCCACGCCTACGCTGGGTTTAGCGAAGGGAAAAAAGTCATGATATGTCACGTGACGCTGCCCTGACGACACAAGTTTGACACCTCTGAACTATATCATTTCTTGGAAGTGGGTTCACATTACTAGAAAGACACAAAGAAAATCTGGAAGGTTGTGAGGAATATCTTGAGAGGCTAGAGGGAATAATAGAGAACATGTTTATCAGCATTGTTTCTGGTAATTTTTTTTTTGTGACCAGCCATGATAACCAATGATAGTCATTTTGTGACTGATCATCCTCTCTGCCTATGGCTATCATTTTGAGAGAATCTTTATGAAATAATTTTCAAAATCCAAGTGGATTGACTGACATCCTCCCACCTTACTTAGGGCTGCTGATCATTTAATTGGCTTCCTTTCATCAACATTAGACTGGAAAAAAGTTCCATAGGTACTCAGGGACACACACACTCTCAGGAACACACAACCACAGATAATAATTTATTTTTAAAAAAGAGAATGAAGAGAATGAGATAAATCTGGTGACTTGCTATGTATCAAATGGAAATTTTAAATCTAGTGAAATTAAGGTTTTAAATACTTGTGCCTTTTTCTTTTGTTTATATAATGTAACAAGCTTGAAACTATCTACTCTTTTGGATTGGAGGAACCTGTTATTTGTTTTGGAAGTGGACTAGTCTAGTTTCAGGCTCTTATCCTCTGACATTGCAAGACAAATTTGTGTGATTGGTGATTAAGCCATTCATGAAATTTTAGGCTGAGCAACACGGGAAACGACTCACAAAAAACAATTCTACTTATAAATCTCTTATTGTCATATAGGGAATAAATTATATCTGTGTGTGGTAATTATGGAATTGTACATTGTAAGGAAGGAACTTCAAAGATAAATTATTCCAAAAATAAGATTTTGGTATTTGCCAAAGGCCCTAGAGCTGATAAGTTAAATGAACAACCAATTAAATATTGGGGGTAGGGTTCACTTCTCTGGTGAGTGTAAGGCCCATTAGGATTATATTAAGCAAAATGCCCCAAAATTGACAATAGCTCTGCAATCTTTCTATTATTCCAAAGGGGCAAGATTTATACTGAGTTTTTAAAAAAGTATTTGCAGCAAATGTTTATGCACAACTCTTACTTGATGTTCACACCCATATAGCAGTTTTGCTCGATGAGGGAGAATACAGCCTAAATTTCTAAGGTTATTTTTCAAGGGTGTGAAGTGTGCCTAATGTGGTCCTTTGTCACGAAACTAGTATGATTAGAGTGGAAACCAGCATGTGGTTATGTATATTTTCATTCTGATAGAAATGCTTTTTTGTTTTATTTTGCTGTGGGCTTAGGTCTCTCAATCCTGGCTGATAATTTAGAAAAGTTAATTGAAGTTAATTTATAAGAAGTTGCAGAGTGATGGTTTTTTACAGGACATATTACTGACGATTTATACAGGACGTATTACTGACGCCTATAAGTAGGTGGCATCAAGCAACATGTTAAAGATTTAAAAAGTCAATTAGATTTGTAAGTCCTTCCTAAGATTTTTTTACTAGTTGTTTTCCCTTTTTTAGACCAGCAAAATATTTAAACCAAATATCTATCTCTAAATTTAGGAGAGTACTAACTGTAGATGTTTTAATGCATCTAACAGCTATCCTTGAAGGAAAGTTCGGAGAAATTCCTTATTTTTATGTGGCGAAGGAGCAGTTGAAATACAGCTCGTATATTGTTGCATTGCTCATTTTATTTATTTATTTGCACCCCGCCTTTATTATTTTTAAAGATAACTTAAGTGGTAAACTTATCCAACACACACCCCTACTCTTCTTTTCCCTACAACAATAATCCTGTAAGGTGGGTTGGGCCAAGAAAGAGTGACTGGCCCAAAGTCATAAAACACTTTTTGTTTTATATCCTCAATATTAACTAAATTCCTGGATCATTTGAATTTATTTTATATACTGTTGTTAGAGGACCTATACGATTCAGTCTCTTTGAATATAACTAAATTTTGTTTTGTTGTTTATAAAACCACTGTAATAAAAGTTACCGTTTATTTTTAACTTACTTCGTAAATTCAGTTTCTACCTTTTAGATGGAATTTTGGTCATTGACTGTAATAAAGGCCTGACTGATGAGTAATAGTGAGGGATTTGTCCTTTCTGCTCCATGAACTTCATTTAAAAATCTTATTAAACATTCAGACTGATGTTTCCTACTGTTTTGAAAGGCGCTAATGCTGTTTATTCCTGTAGCTGATTTTAGGCTCTCCTAGAATTTTATGTCTCTGTTGCCTTTTAAAAAATATTTCACTTATATTTATGAATCCAATATAACATGCACACATTCATCAGTTACCCAGCTTTAGCTTTAAATGGATTTTCATGCTAGGATAAGCGTTTGAATATATCATACTTAAAAATGTGACCCATTCATTGTCTGCGCCTGCACTCTTTTCTTCTTTATAAAAGAGATTTGTATTTTAAATGGGTGTTCTTTTTTTTTTTTGTATCCCATCTGCTTGCTGTGCTTGATCTTGCTGTGAAGTAGAGGTTAGCATGTGACATCACAGTCATAAATGTTGCTGGGAAATATCAGGAACAGAGAATATTACCCTCTAAAAAGACTGAGCAACAAGAAAGACTGGAAGCAAAAATGATGCTCATATGGATAATACAACTTTAATATTTTTCTGGGATTTTCATTACTCTTTAAAAATAATTTTAGTATAAAATTTTAAAAAAAACTGTTGCCTTGTTATCATGAATCTACTTATGTTCTGATAGTAGATACTGAGAGGATCTTTGCATTAGTTAATGTACATTGACAGTATTTTGCAGATTGTTTTTTTGTTATGCATAGTATTTAGCTATTCCTATCCTTCTTATTGCATATGATTAATTGATCTGTTACTTTGGAGTGCT